TTGGAGAAGCATGATATCCATTTCCGCCATTGCTCGAAGAAGGGAACATACTTTCACCTTGATTAGATTGTGGAAGGTCGTCTTTAGAAGGAAGAGGAAAACCATTTCCAAAAGGATGAAGAAGACCATAATTGTCTTGACTTGACATCTATAAAAGGATAAAAGAGAATTCAAGTTAGTTGATTTTAATCCTTAATTATTAACCCATAAATTTTAAACTAAGGCTAGGATCCATATTTTCGGTTCGAACTTTGAAGAGGGATGCCGTAATCAAAGTCGAATCTATTTTAGGTAGGTAAATCTTTTACCAGTTTTAATCTTATGAAACTCCTAGATCATTTGAGATTCATTGAATCTAATCAATCACATGTTTAATCTCAGATTATACTCTCACTTTTGTGACTGGGATGCCGAGGATCACAAACGATATGTGAATAACCATGAAAATTAGATTGGCACTCTCGATGTCATTTATCATCTCATTTTAATGTGCATGTTAACCACACACGCTCCATTAATCAATGATAATTTTTGAGACACCCACTACCACCCTTTATTTGTCCTCTATTAGTGTGTCAGTTAACCACACGTGCTCGACTAACAACTTATAAAGTGTAGTTTGCAATTTCATGGATTAGCATACAAATTCACATTTTTCCTAAAATAATTAAGAGTGAGATTTTAATAAAAGGTTTAGTTACTTTTCAATTCATTATACTTATTAATGAGATTTTGTCATATCAAATCGGTTCGACTAACGACCCTCCACCACACAGGAGAGTGGCGGGTGAGAGTGGACACCCATTTAACGGCCATTTTATAGGCCGCTTCCTTATACCCTCTTTATAGCATGGTTTCGTGAATGAGGCGTACTAGCGATTTGACTGACTTTTCTTACACGTATAATATATATTAAACTTTTAATTATATACATAGTATAGGTGTATTTTAATACATTTTAAAATAGAAAGGGTTTAATCTTTTAATAAATTAAAATTTTAATTTAATTAAATTTAAACCATTTTATGGATTTATTAATTGTCTTTTAATTAATAACTTTATTAAATTAATAATAAGATCCATAAGGATGTATTTTAAACTTTTCAAAAATACCAAATATTATTTGACATTAATTATTAAGTTCAATTAACATCTAGATTTATTATTTAAACATTTAAAAAATTAATCATATTAATCACAAAACAATTAATCAAGTCAAATGCTAATCTCCTAATTTCTAGGCATTTAATTTATCATAATGGATACACCAAAATCAGATTTGGGGATAAATATAGCAAGTAGATATCACATAAAAGTTGTTAAGGCAGATTAGGCATAAAATCCTGTCCAGACTAAGTTCACATAAAAGTTGTTAAGGCAGATTAGGCATAAAATCCTTTGCTTGGTGATCAAGCAACCCATTCCCCTTATTCAAGGGGCTTGGATGAAATTCCTTGGGCTTGCCCAAGTGACTTTTTGTCCACCTTATCCAATTAGGTCCATGGGCTCCTTTCCTCAACTTTCAATAAATAACCAAATAGACCATGCACTTTTAATTAATCCAATTAATCCCAAAATTAATTCCAATTAATTTCTGATTAAGTATTAATTAAATAATACTATTTGTAATCAATATATCATTCTCATAATATATTAAAAAATTATTTATTTTGATTTCTAATTAATTTATTAACCATATAATAAATTAATCAATCAGTCTCTTTCTCTCCAAAAGCTATCCTATTTAATTGCTAGGTTTGAGGGCAACCCGAAAGGACTGTGTTACTATCAATTCAAGTATATACTAATTATAGTTGTTGGCTTAGACACCCAATCCAACAGAAACTTCGAAGAAGTATAAATTCTTCATACGAATTCGGATTTAAGCGCTCCTTATATTCACGAGATAGTCAATACGACTACTACATCTTTAGCTAAGATTATCTTTTATATCTTAAATGTATAGCCAAATTCAGGGGTGTTGCAATTATCTTCCCCTTAGGATGATTATGTCCCAGAATCATCAACGAAAAGGGCTGGATGATGATTCTGCAAGTCACTTCTCAATCCTTAGCTATAACCGTAACTCATATGCCTTCCTTATCAAGCTCTTAGACTTCTTAGCTGCTGGTGGTGCTCATACTTCCACTTTCTCTTCATTCTCTGTTGGACCTTTAATCCTAATCTCTGAGTTAAAAAATCGACCTTCATTGTAGACTCCTTCTCCTTCTTAAACAGACTCAACACATAATAAGGTCGTTACTTCGGCTACCGTAACAAACCGAATGGTCACTCTCTAATGACCTTTATATCTCATGACTTAATGGCTATATTCGGGTCTCTATGTGTTAAACTCTAGCACGGAAGATACCTTCCTTCACGTTCTAATATGGTATGACCACATCATAGTAGGTGGCATTTCTAGCTACAGGCTGCTTAGCGTTAACGACGGCTGCGATACTTCTGTCCATCGCTTCGATTATCTTTTCCTTCAATCTCTTGACTAAATTGGGATACTACATCAAACATGGTTCTCTAAACCAAGTAACTTACTTCGTAGATTTATCTTATTCGGACTTGATTCATTATGACCACTACGGTTGGAATAAAAATCATTTTCTTAGTCATCACCGACATGATGGTAATGACGGATAGGGATGCATCAAACTCAACTACTAGTTCCTTAGTAACCTTGTGACTTTTCCTGATCCAAGTGCGAGTCCCCAAGTCACCATACAAGAAAATCACATTTCAACTTAACACATTGAATATTATAACATATTAAGGATTTTATAACTTCTTGAAAATAATTTACAACACTATTCAAGTTCATCATACTCCATGCCTTGTTCATCAAGCTACATAATATAATACTATCTATATGGCCACATCATATATTGAACTCCAGATAAGTAGCCTCCTCCTCTAGTATGCTTCACCTTATACTACTTCCAGGGTCATCTGAAATGCTCGTACCTTTGGTTTTGGTGTCACATTCGGCCTTGCAGCTTTGTTTTTCTTTAGGCGGTCACTTTTGAGATGCCCAACTTCTCCACATTTGTAACACATGCTTTGGGTGCAGTTGCTAATGTAGTGATAAGTCTTTCCACAGTTGAAACAAGTCACCTCATTGCTGCATCTCCCAAAGTGTTTCTTCTTGCACTTTTCACACCATTTCGTCTCATTTCTATCTCCAGACCTCATGTCATTGGGGTTGGACTTTGAAAACCTACTCTTATTATCGGACCTTGAAGATCCTTCAAACTTCCTTTCTCTCCACTTTCAGCTCTCTCCAGACCTGATGTGAGTTAGAATCGATAAACAAACACGAAATCAATCAAAGAAAGTAGTAAGAACACATCATGTAAATATGATATGATTGGTTGGTATTAGTCTGAAAAGAATACAAAGTATTCGAGAGTGTTTACAAACTGAAGAACACAAAAGTTACTCTCAACTTTAGTAACTACCCTATTTATAGGGTACAACAGACTTAGAAAAAAATACAAGGACTAAACATTCTAGTTTCGAATACAAACAATGCCTTGTAAATACATAGAGAGTCGAAATCATTTAGATTTCGAACCCTTACAGACTCAACCTATTTCGACTCCTCACTATATAAGTTTCAACCCCTATAATCTCCCCCTTAGTGAGAGTAGTTGAAATTATGTCATAAGCTTCAAAGTCTGAAAAAGTACATTGTGAACCTCCATATACAACAAAATAGTCTTTCGAATCTCTGCCTTGTCTTCAACATCATTCTTCTTGTAGTTGTTAATTCGAACAAGGAGATTGGTATATTGAGCATTCGTATACCTCTCTAAATCACTTACTTGAAACAAATTTTTTTTCATCTTCCCATTCCTGTTCTTCTCTCGTAACATGACCCCAAGTGGCTGATGAATTATCTACCCATCATCATACTTGTCAATATTAATCTGTCCTTTCAACAAAGATTGAGGGACTTTCGAAGGATTTTTGGCAGCTAAAGCAAGCTTAATATCCATGATTGCCAAGTGATCATAGTAATTATCTATGAAAACCTTGATATGAGCAAAACCAATGATGAAATCATCTTTCTTCATTTCAGGTAGCTTGAAAACATCCATATCATTCAAATCCTTTTGACCGTGATCAAGTCCCCTAAAAAGAGGGAAGTATGCAATAGAGAACTCAGAAGCTACATTGTTCGCTCTTAAAACCACATAGCAAAACTTTTTCAGAAGACCTTCGAACAGGTTGTCACACATTATGGTCATCACCTTCACTATCTTCACAAGTGACCATACTTCTTCTTCGCTTTTCCCCAAGACTGCATGGAAACGAATCTTCAGTCTTTTGAACTCATCTTTATCATTGAAATTTTCAACAATCTTGAACTGGGAAGATGTGAACAACACATGGTTTTTTGGGAAGTCAAGTTGATTGAAATCACTTTCCCAACAACAACCCATTTTTAGAATCTTTTAAGGAACCGACTCCTCCACATCCTTTCTCCCCCCCCCCCCCCCCCCTTGTGACACTTGCACCGCACGTAGAGCATTAGTTGGCAATCGAAGAACCAACTCAAGGATTGGAGCCAACTATGACTTGATATTGGTCTCTATAGTCGAAATCAATTGAGAGATAAACTCTTGAGAAACTGATGACTGTTTCAAAAAAGTAGCTTTCGAAATCGACTCCTTGATACGAGATAAGAATTCTTCCAGATTTTCAAACACCTGAGAATCCTTGTTGGACTTCACTTCAAACTTGTTTGAATACTCAGTGTTGAACTCCACCAACTTTGTGATAGAAGTTGCAATGACATCGACTTTGCTATGCAACAAAGTGTAATTTTGCTCCATCTTTTGAACCTCTTTTGACATCTCCGATTTGAGTTCAACAACTTTAAGATCCACAGATTCCTTTATTTTCGGTACTTTTTCAACAAAAATATCATGACGTTCATTTGCTACATCACGAAGCTCTTGAATCTCGTAGTCAATGCTTTCGAATTATTTCTGCTCAATGCTTTCAACCAAGCTTCGAAAGCGATTCTCTTGAGATTTCAACAAATATTCCATCTCGACCCTGGTCACAAAATTCCTTCCCTCAATATCTTCTTGTAATTGAAGAAGAGAATTTATTTTGGAGTTGAAAATTTTGAAATGTTTACCTGACATAATTAAGTCTTCAGGAACATTTTCCTCCCCAGGATTGAATTGAAGATCAACAAAGGATACCATGATCTCATCATCATTTGGTTCTTCATCATGAATCATTCTCTCAGCCTCAGTGGGTTGAGAAGAGAAGAGGTTGGTAATTGGTTCATGCATGATCATGGAGTATGTTGGTGAGATGGTTGAAACAGGAACTGAAATTGTTACGGGTGATGAAATAGGTGGTAAAGTTGTGGATGTGTCAACTGTAGAAGTTTCGATAGTAGATAAGATGATGATTGAAGTTTGGATGGTTGGAGTTTCAAAGGTAGATGTAACAAAGGATTTGTTTTTCTGCACCCTTTAACCCATGTTAACATTTGTGTCCTTATGAGATAAGTCCACCGGGAGTCAGGATCCCCTATCGCCTCGAAATTCGACTTGAGAGAAGAATCCCTTCAAGGTGATACAAGCACAAAATCTACTATGCGAATATCACAATCACTGTCATTGTCAGTTTCGACTGTGACTTGGTCAAGTGAATCCTGGTGCTTTCTTTTCTTCTGTTGCAACTTTTGAACCATATCCAGAGCTTGATGCTTCTTCGATGCAAGTGGGACTGGAACAAAGACTTTTGTAAACAAAACTCCTTTCCTGTTGAACCGATGCTTTCAAATCTTCTTGATACCATTCTGAGAAGAATGAGTACGTGAAGAATCAACGTGTATTTGCTCTGTAGTCTCGATTTCTGGTTATGGAATAGATTGCTTGACTGGGGAGTCATGGGGTTTCTTTGCTTGTTTATTTGTACGCTTGAGAATTCCTGATTTTGAAGGAAGAATTTCTTTCGTAACATCCTCTTGCATAGTTGGTGGTTTTTCAGTTTGCTTCTTCTTCTTTGGAGCTTTAGAAGCTTTCGAAGAACCCGCAACCCCCTTTGATGGAAGAACACCAATATATATAGTAGAGTCAATAGAAGCCAAACACTGCACAAAAATCAAATTTTGAGGATCAACTAGCTTGAGCATTGCATCCAGAATTCGAGCAACAGTAGGAAACATAGTTGGATCATCAACGAATATCCTTAGGGAAACCGTAGTCGGAAACTCAACAGTATCGACATCAGATGAAACCAAAATTCCCTCTTGTTGATAAACCTCTTTCAAAATTAGACTCCAATATCTAGCACTCGAAACACCATTAGCAAGATTGGTGTGAGTTATTGAAGTTCCAAACTCTTCCTAAAGATATGTAGCATAATCCACATCCAAACCATAGTACAACCAAACAACAACTGAATAAAACTCCAGTTTAGCTTTATCTAGCCCTGAGCTTCGACCTGTCAATCATCGTAACACGATTCCAAAGAGAAAACTCCATATGCAAGGAAGACTTGACTTCTTAAAACTACTTATTCCAGTCAGAACTGGTTGATGTCATATTTCATTGAACATGTGAAGTACTTGATCAGTAGAAACTTCATAAAAAGTACCTGAGACAGGCAACTTCAGGATTTGGGAAAAATGTTTCCTCGTAAGCTTCCTCGTCTTTGAATTCGTCAATTGAAACGTGACGGCCTTCATCGATTTGTTGAAGACGGCAGTGGAACCAGCAAGAGAAATCCACGTCATTGGAACCACGAATGAAGAAGACAATTCAGTTGATAATATTGAGTTGTTTAGAGTAAGAAGCATCCGTAATGGCTCCAGATACTGACCAATCGTTGGAACCAAATGAAGACTAGTATTCTGAATCGTCATCATGGATTGTGAAACTTCTTCTTCATTAGTTGTTGTAGTGGGAACAACAGTTGTTTGAGGAGCAGCCATTGTGGAGATTGTTGGTGTGGTATCTCATGAATTACAATCGAATACTCATTGATGAGCATCGAAGGGCTTCTTTTTCATTGGTTTTGAAAGGTAGGTTCAATTTTGCTCAACACCACAACTTAACATAAGTATGATTCAATTGAACAAAATTACTTGGATGACCAGTGTAGTCAAGAACAAGTATGGTTGGATATGATTTTAAGTAACAAGAAATCAGAAAGATATTCAAACGAAAATCACATTCCAAAAATAGATTAAGTACTGGATCTTGTTGGGAAAAAATGTCTTGGTTGTAGAACATTTCATCAAGATCACACAATTTGAATGGAATGAGATTTTGAATATCGAAGAGGTACTGAAAAAAGTATTTCGTTAAACTCTTGAACAAAAATGTTCACCGTCAATTCCTTGATAGTTGGGTGTTTGGGTTTCACCCTCATCACGAAAGAATGACTCAGGATTATAAACACATAGTGTTGTCATATCTACATTCTGGTTGGTTTCAACTAGAGATGTCGATGATATGCAGTGTGGTGTGTGATCATGAAAGAAATTTTGGTGAAAAAGATTAGGCATAAGAACTCATTGTACCTCTGCGAAATATATGGACATTGCAAAAATCTCTTTACTCAAAATGAGAAGAGAAAGGTAGCTCTTCGACTAATATGAATATATCCTAATTGGGAAGAAACTTTCATAATGAGATATTTCCATTAAGGCATCGAACACATAGAGTCTATGAGGCTTGAGGACAACATGCAACACCATGCTTCTAGGGACGCTTAACTAGTACATCAATTCGATTGAATACCTGTCTCCTCAATGGATATGTTTGTTGAGCATGCATCACAACCGCAAGTTGTTACAATGAGACATGAACCATTAGTCAAAAATATCAAGTACAAAAACAAGAAAATCTTTTTGAATTTTTTTTTAGAAACAAAACACAAAAATAAGAAAATCTTTTTGGATTTTTGTTTTTGGAAATTAAATACAAAAATAAGAAAATCTTTTTGGATTTTTGATATTTGAAAAAGAACAAACAAAAATGAACTTTAAAATGTTACCAAGAGACGTTCGACCTAGCTATTAGCAACCCCCAATCATGTGTTGAACATCAAACATCTTCTACCCACAACAAATTGAGTTCAGAACGATTCAGAGGGAATTTGAATGCAACCGCAGTCGAACGCTGAACCGAAACAGTAACCTCTAAATAGTTCAGAAAAACACCAACGAATCGACAACAATTCGATCAAGAAGAACATGGAATCAAACTTGCTTCTATCATTCCCAATCCATTCAAAATCCTTAAGAATGACTTTTCATCTAAAGGTTTTGTGAAAATGTTTGCAAGTTGATTCGTGGTTTTGGAAAAATAGACTTCAATGCTCCTATCTTCTACATGGTCCTTTATGAGGTGATATCGAAGAGCAATGTGTTTGGTTTTTGAATGTTGGATTGGATTGTGGTAGATGCGAATGACACTTTGTGAATCACAATATAAAGTAATTTTCTTCATATTGATTGCATAGTCTCGCAATTAGCTTTGAATCCAAATTACTCGTGATGTGCATGCAGCAGCAACCACATACTCTGCTTTTGCAGTCGAAATCGAAACACAAGTTTGCTTTTTCGATTGCCAGATCACAAGCTTTCCATGTAGTAATTGACATCTGTAAGTTTTTCTTTTTCGATCAAGTTGACATCCATCTAGATCCACATCATAGAATGTCTGTATAAAGAATCCTGTCTTTGATGGATACCATAATCCTAACGAAAATGTTCCTTTGAGGTATCAAAATATATTCTTAACAACATTAAGATGGGGTTCTCTTGGGTTTGATTGGTACCTGGCACAATTACATACAGCAAAAGCGAACCAATCATGCTGATATACGTCGTTAAGTCCACATCAAGTTTATCCAACGAAGGAGTTAAGCGTGTGCGCACAACCATAGGTACTTTAACCTTGGTGTTATTCATCATTCCAAACCTTTCAAGCAGATTGTGCGTATATTTTTCTTGATTAATAAAAATGCCTTCCCTGCTTTAAATAATATTCAAACCCAAAAAATTATTAATTTTCCCCATCATACTCATTTTGAATTGACTTTTCATGAGTTCCTCAAATTCCTTAGATAACAAAGGATCAGTCAAACCAAAAATAATGTCATCGACATAAATTTGAACGAGCATCAGATGATCACCTACTTTCTTTTGAAATAAAGTAGGATCGTTTGATCCTTATTTAAATTTAGCGATTTTTAAAAAAATATTGTTCGAGTTGCATATCAGGCACAAGGTGCTTGTTTCAACCCATAGACTGCCTTATCTAAAATGTAACAATAATCAGAATACTTATCATTAACGTAAACATGTGTCTATTCGACATATATCGTTTCCTCTAGAACTCCATTAAGGAACGCACATGTGACATCCATTTGATAAACGTTGAAATCCTTATGAGCTGCATAAGCAAGAAACTTTTTTATTGCCTCTAGTCTTGCAACAGGGGCAAAGGTTACCTTATAATCGATACCTTCATGTTGAGAATAACCTCTTATGACTAGTCTTGCTTTATTTCGAATAACATTGCCTTCTTTATCAGTTTTATTTTTAAAAATCCAGTTTAGACCAATTAACGAAACATCCTTTGGTTTAGGAATTAACCTCCAAAATTTATTTCGTTCGAATTAAGCAAGTTCGGATTGCACTGCAACAACCCAATCGAAGTGTTCTAACGCAATCTTTATTGTTTTTGGTTCTAGTTTCAAAATAAACACATTAAACATACAATATTCTTGATGAATATTCAACACTTCATTTCTGGCTCGAATATGAGCTCGAGTCAAGACACCAGAATTTGGATCACTAAGAACTAGTTCCTTTGGATGATCTATTGTCCACTTATCCATCAGTGGATATGCAAGATCAAAATCTAAAGGCGCATCTTCGAAAATATCATCCACTTCTGAACCTTCTCTTGCAATCAAGATATTGTCAGTTACATCATGAAATTCATTAGTTTGATCGTTTTTATTATCAATATTCGATCCATTTGGCTCCCCCTCGACCAATGAAATTGAGATGTGATGCTCCCCCTCGACATCAACATGGTTCAACACATGCTCCCCCTCGACTTGAGTTGTATTTCGCATATGCTCCTCCTCAACAGTCGAATCATGATTGTCATTTTGTAATGTCGAACTCAAGTTCTACCCCTCCACTTGATCATCAGTCGAAACTGATACTCTTTCGACATTCACCCTTGAAGTTGATGAAGAATGTGTGTCATTTTCTTCCCTTGTAACAATCGAATCATTAGAGTGTTTTGATGATTCAGGA